TTAAAATAATAATATAATTGTTAAACGGGTCCCATATTAGCGACCAAAGTTGGTCTCTATTTTATAAGCGACCAACTTTGGTCGCTAACTTTGAATTATATTTATTTATATTTTATAATTTTTTTTAAATAATAATATAATTATTAAAATTTAATAAGTGGTTCCCATAATAGCGACCAACGTTGGTCGCTAATCTCAGTATTTCTTTGACCAAGCAAGTCTGACCAGTCCGGTCAACATTTTGACGAAATTATTAACCAAATAGCGACCAACTTTGGTTGCTAATGTATTTAAAATAATTATTTTATTATTTTCTCCAATTTAGAGACCAACGTTGGTCGCTTTTCTTGATAGACCAACTTTGGTCGCTAAAGTTTGGTCGCTTTTTTCCGGAATTCTAGTAGTGTAAAATCAATACTTTTGCTTGGAGAGAAAGAGATATGCTCTTAAAGAAGTGGTAGTGTTTGAGATATATAGATGGATATGTATGAAGCTATTTAAGGAGGAAGACACCGAATTTGTAATCCTTTGTATGATTATTTGTAGTATTACAATAAGAAAATCAAGGAGTTTTCAAGGGATTAGAAAAATTCTTGATCTTTTATCTAATTTGGTTGTGTTCTTCAGCTAATTTCAAGTCTAAGTTCTTTAGCGGGTCCGAAATTTGCACTACAAACTGAAGAACTTCAGACTAATTTGTCTGAAGTTTGCACTATGATCTGAAGTTTTCCGATTGCCTTAGCAAGTCAAGCAAACTTCAGGCGAAAATACCTGAAGTTTTGCTTTGATAAGGTCACACTTCAGACAAAAAATTCTGAAGTTCAAACTTCAAACGTAATTTTTTGCTACTTCAGGCCCTTATATCTGAAGTTATCGAAAAATGGGTAAATTTATAATTTTTTATGCAAAACAGGTATACATTTAATAGTTACCTTAAAACTGGGTATAAATACAAAGCCCCTTCTCAAACAGTCAAACATGAGTGGGCCAATTTTCTCAATCTTCTTTATTACTGTAATGACTTACTTTGTTTGAATTTCAATAGCTTGCCCTATGAGTCTGTCACACACTAAAAATATTAGTTAAAAAATCATGCTAAAAGTTGTCAAATTTTATGTATGAATATTTAAAAAAGCAACTATCGAATAGTCAACTCGTACTTATTGATGAAGCAATATTTAATTTATGTTAAATGAATAAAAAAGAAAGACCCTTGAAAAAATCTTTCTCCTTCTTACTTCAGGATTGTCCCTTTCCACACAATTTTCTTTGGGCCGAAGCAATCCTTTAATTAAACCAAAAAAGTCCAAAAACCCCACCTCATAATTAAAAAATAATCAGATTATTAGTATTAACGTAATCCAAATCCTCGTCAGAAAGTCACACTTCTCACGCTCTCATTTTAAATTCCCCGAAACACCCTTCGGAGTTACAAACCCGTTGCTCTCACAGCCGACTATACCCAAGGCTGTAACCGTCATTTCCCGTTACCGTCTTCTCCAATCAACAGTTGTATAAATATCGAGGCGGCAAAGAAATTTAGTTCCAGAAGTTCTTGTTCGTTTGACAGCGTGCTTACTTTCACAGAGCTTCTCAAAGATATTTTTGTTCGTATAGTTTCGAATCTCATCTCTTTGCCATGGATTTGAACTGCAAAGTTTTGAAGTTTATGATGATGAAAACTCCGGCTGATTCCATTCCTCCGTTGAAAATCGCCGGCGATCAAAACAACGTCGTTTCACCGGTTTTCGATGGAAACAAACTGAAAATTCAGGTTCCTGTTCCGAGGAAAATCGTTGGCGGCGAGGACGATGTGGTAGATAAGAAGAAAGTGAAAATTGAGGTTCCTATTCCGAGGGAATTGTTATTTCCATCCGCTGAGACGGCGTCGTGTACTGATCATGCGCAGTTATTGGTTCAGAACTATGGGAATTTCAAAAAGAGTGGGAAGCCGGTGAGGTTTATGTTCTATAAGGATGGATCGTGGGTGAATTTCGAGAAAAACGTGATGGATGTGATGGTATCAGGTTTCGTGAGTGGCAAGCCTATGATTGATGTGGAAATGGAAGGGTTAAAATGTCTTTTTGATTTTTATCGCATGTTAGAGATTGACTTGGACACTGGGAAAGAGCGCTCTATTTCTTGGATTGATGTTAATGGTAAGTGCTTTTTCCCTAAAGTCTTCATTGATTCCAGTGAGAATTCAGATGATAAAAATCAGGAAATTGAAGCTTCGAATGTAAATGAAAAATTTTCCTCTGAGAATCCTAAGATTGAAATTGAGATAAGAATCTCAGATGACAACTCAGATAAAGAAGTTAACAATTCAGGAGAAGAGTTGAAGTTAGGAAAGAGAAAGAGGGGAAGTGAGGAGAATGAAGTGGAGGAGAAGGGAGAACGGAGTTCGTCCAATGCGAAAGAGCGGCGTGTTATTGCTGCTACTGAATTGCATTCACCAAGGTGGCCAAAGGCAAGGTCATTGAGGGAAGAGGAAAAAGGCTATCAGATGGTGAAGGGTTTACTGTTGTCGGGTTTGAGGACTGTGGACCCTGGTGTTACAGTCACTTCGATTCATCAGTGTGTTAGAACTGGCCCATTGGAAAAGGCTCGTCTTGAGGTTTTCCAAACAAATATGGAGATCTTAAAGAGAGCTAGAGGGGGGAACCTTAATGTTGTATATGCTTGGTACGGGACATCAGCCAAGAACGTGGAGATCATTCTGCGTCATGGCTTTGGAATGCCTAGCGTGGTACATGGTTCTAATGCTCATGGCGTTGGTGTGTACTTGTCGCCCTTACGCCAACCTCAAAATAGGTATGCCGTTCTTGAACTAGTTCATTTTTGTGTTCTCGTAATTGCACGCGTTCTTTTTTTTTTAACTTGTTATTGATTGTGTGTGTAGTGCAATGATGTCTGAGGTAGATGAATATGGTGAAAAGCATATTGTGCTGTGTCGAGTTATATTGGGAAAGCTTGAGAAGGTTGAGTTAGGATCTCAACAGCGGTATCCTTCTAGTGTGGATTTTGATACTGGGGTTGATGATTTGACAAACCCGAAGTGGTATGTGGTGTGGTCTGCAAATATGAACACCCACATTCTTCCCGAATGCATAGTTAGCTACAAATCTGGACGTCATATGTCAGGTAAATGTTGCTCCTCTCTGTCATTCAATCTGTTTCAATCACTTTTGAATTTTGGAAAGAGAAATGGAAACACTTATGTGCCCATATAGGTCAAGCAAATGGTGCTTCATCCATGAAGTGGGCTCCTCATGCTTCAAATGCAATGGGTACATTAATATCCAAGCTAAGTACTTTGCTTCCACCTCTGAAAGTGCAGGAGTTGCTAAGTTTGTATGGCTCCTACCGGGTAAGTTGCATTGGGTTTTCTAACACTGCACATTCGATATGATTCGTTATACGCAGGGTGATGAATCTGGTGTGACATCTTTATGTTGTGTTTTGACTACTCTTAATTTCTCTTCTCCTACAAATTGTTTACAGGAAGGCAAATTAGGGAAAGAAGTTTTCATGAGACAGTTACGATCTGTTGTTGGAGATGAGTTGTTGCGTTCGACTATTCTGGAAATTCGTGGCTGAGATGAGGTTCTTTTAGTGTTTAATTTTTGTCGTGAGAATATGGGATGTGTTCTCATTGATAATTCCGTTTTTATACAACCAAAGTGTAATGTTACCTTTTACAGAGGGAAGCCTCATTAGTAGGAAGCAGGATACACCTTAGGTTATAGACTTACATTTTGTTTTTGTTGTACCTTTTCTAAAGGTTGTTGTGGTGATGTTACTAAAGAGCTTGGACGGTTTTGTCTTTTAGTGGAAGTACAAATGACAACGTTTTTTTTTCCATATCCGGTTACTGTCTTTGTGTTTGCATGTGAAATATTGTTTTGGAATTGTGCAGCGCTAGTGTACAACTCTAAATTGTTTGCCTTATGTTCTGAAGCTTGAATACTGCTTCATGCAGTTATGACTAGATATGTTTTATCTTATAGCTTTTTATTTGTGTCTGTTGTTCATGTTTTTTGGATATTATGCCAATCTCTTTTGGGTCCGTATTTTCACTTTTTTTCTTCTTAAAATCTACATTGACTTGGAAGAGTTTAGAAAAGTTTGCGTGTAGAATCATCTTTCAAGAAAATACTTTTGGAAAATCATGTTAGTTTTTGTAAAAATCTATCTTTGGATTGTTTTAAGTCTTTAGAAAGCATTTCGGTTGATTTTCAAAGAGGAACGTCAATTCAATTTTCAATTTTCCATTTTCTAAAAACGTTGACGAGAGTATATTTCTAATCAAACGGGTTTAAATGTTATGCATCCAAAATAATTTTTAAGAGAAGACTTGTAGAATGACACATTTTTTTTTGGTGCAAAAATAACTGTTTATATTATATTAAGGTGGAGTAGTACAAGAAGCATATGTATGAAAACATAGTTTAAAGTACTAAGGGGTCGACCTTGTGATGGGTCGTGATAAGAGGGAAAAGCAAGGGAAAAACTCGTATTTTCACTTTTTTTCTTCTTAAAATCTACATTGACTTGGAAGAGTTTAGAAATGTATATTTGTTCATTTTGTAGAATTCCTCAGAACTAGCTGCTTAAGTTGATTATTGATATTTTACGTGCTCCTTCTGGTTACTTGATTAGGACCTTATTTTACTCTTCGTGATGCATGTATATACTGTTTCATGTGAGAAGTTTCTTTTGGTAGTAACCATTCCAATTTCCTAAAGTTAGAGGCTGAGTTCTCTATGGAAGTGCCTGCTTTTGAGATGTGACAAGGATGGCAGCCTACGTTAGCAGATAATTGAATACTTGGCTATATGGACCTTGCTTCGCATAATGCATGTAGACTATCTGTTGCAAAAGTTTCCCTTCAATAGTAAGAATTCAGGATTGAGTATAAAGCTAGTGGCTGAGTTCTCTATGGAAGTGCCTGCTTTTGAGATGTGACAAGGATGGCAGCCTACGTTAGCAGATAATTGAATACTTGGCTATATGGACCTTGCTTCGCATAATGCATGTAGACTATCTGTTGCAAAAGTTTCCCTTCAATAGTAAGAATTCAGGGTTGAGTATAGAGCTACAGGCATTGTATGCAACTTGCCCACCTTCGAGTAGTGATGAGGGTAGCAGCCTATATTGACGTATCACCCAACCTATATTAACGTATAATTGGTCGAATATGGAATGATTGTCAGGTAGTGGTAAAGAACCAATTGCAGTGATCTTGTGAAATGTAACTTTGCATTCTGGTGAGTCGATGCATTTATCACGTACATTTTCATGTCTACTATTTAAAGATATGTTGTATGTCCTTGTGTGCATGCCTTTTTTCTCCTTGAACTAAAATTATGTTTGGATCATTGGATTTCATTGGAGAAGAAGCACCAGTAATCTTCTTGCAGTGGCTGGTTTCCTGCTAAATGCTGTCTGTATTTTATGCCACAGGTTGGAGGATACATGCCTTGCCTATTCTTAAGATGAAATAATTCTTATTACCAGTTAGAGGTCCTTGCATAGTCATAATAAAGTAAAAATATAATTGGAGACATTTAAGCAAATTTTGATGGTTGACTTAGCTAAACTGGAAAGTAGTAAGTCTTGTGATCAGAGTTATTGCTTGTGGTTTAGAAACAAATGTGTGCTATGACATGATGGAAGTGAGGTAGTATATGGGACAGTTAATTGCTTAGCTTTTGTGCTTGTGTTACTTTTCAAAAGAGATGGCTATGTTACCTTTGCATGAAGAAGAAGTTTTTGCATGTCTAGGTGGTGTATTTTAGGTTTTGACGCTGACTCTTTTACCTTTTCTGTAAATGGAATTAAGTTTACTTATCTATCTGTTTTTAATGTAAGAGCAGAAGTTACTTACTGAATTATGTCGAATACAAGACCTCTTACCATATGATTGGAGAGTTTATTTTTTATTTAAAATTTCACCAAGTACTATTATGGATATAACGGCTAATGACTGGCAATAATGTGTGTGTAAATGTTGTTAGCACATTGGGTTTTATGCTGTTTCATTCCACGTTATTGTTTTCCGTATGTGTTCAATGGATAAGTTTTTGAATGTCGATATTGATCTATGCCATCCAGCAACTACATATTGCTGCAGTTGGGATTTGACAGTGTGGACTTTTTCTTCATTTAGTGGGTATCATATTTTTTTGTTGGGGAATGCTTTAAACTTTAAAGGTCCTTAACTAGGTTAATAAGCAGACTGTAGAGGGCATGACTGGTAGTTGGGAACATGAAGTGCATTAAATGCGAGTTTCACCCTTCCTTTGATGGCCAACCAGGGTCGACTTTATTCATGAACTGGTGAACTGAACAAAGATCTGTGTCGGGTTAGTGTTTAACTTTTATTTTGTAAGTCAGGAAGTCATCAAATTTCACAAGCATGAAGAGATAAAATGTGTTGCTTTAAGTTCAGTTCTCAAAGAGTCCGGCAGCCTCATTGGCAAAAATCCATTTCTTAAGGTGATTTGGATTATGACTTCTTTAGACTTTCTGTTATCTGTCTATTTTAGCATCTCTTTATGTTTCTTCTTACTAAAGTTCAGTTGGCAAGGGAAGTAATGGCCAACATAAGTTTCTGTTTGAAGATTTTCTGCCAAAACTAGTCATGTAGTCTAAGAAAGTTATAATTTCTTTTAGTTGCTTGTGTTCACTGGAACGTTTAGCAGTGTTTGTCTGTTCAGTTACTGACGGCATGTGTCTTATCTGTTTTGTTTTCTCTGGAACCTTTGCCTGTAAGTTAGGACCAACACCAGGGATAGTCGTTCTTTTTTTTTTTAGAAGTACCACTAACTGTAGGTCGGGGAGGGGGTGGTTAGGCCTTGACTCCTACCTGTATATTTATCACCAAAAGTGCAAGAAGATGGATATAAAATCTGTACAACAGAAGAAATGGACATGATCATTTCTATGTACATGTGATTAGCTTAAGCTTCGCCTCATCACAAGGTTCAAGAGTGTTTCATGACTGTTGTGTGCTCTGACTTTGAGTCTCCTCTTTTTCTTCGAGTATGTCCCCACCCTCAACTTATATTTTGCTCCCTCATATTACTGTCTTCTCAAATCATTGGAGTATTAGTGCAATTTGAATGCCTTCTTTAGGATCTAAGGAAAGAGATCTTTTGCTTCATGTGACGGTGTAAAATATGGTTGTGTTCATCTGAATCTCAATAATATGGAGAAAAGGAGCAAAAAGACCCTAAATTGATATTGTGATCCCTGTTATTGGTATATATACAAATGAGCTACCTTTTCTTGCCAATTAGATGGCAAGGAGGAATAATTTTGTGCGTTTTCCTTTACATCTATTGCTGTGGAGAAACAGCAGGAGTTTACGACATTGGTGTGTGATTTTGTGCAGTGGTGAGTATTTTCTGTTTTCATCTTTTGCTACTATTAATCCAAAAGATGTCACCTTTCAGGGACGTGTGTTTGGCGTAGTCTATTGTAGGGCCATGAGAGTCAGCAGTTTTATCTTTTAGCTTCACTCTATTTACCCGAGCTTGCCACAAGTTGGTATATTTCTTTGTGAGCAATCCCTTTTTGCTTGATTTTCCAAATACTGAACGCAGTACCATTTAAGTACTAATCTTAATTTTAGCAATTAATTTAATGGTGTCGTTCCTGGCTTTTCCTTGAGTTGGTATTCTCATAAACACGCACCTCGTTGCTTAAACTTCCCTACTAATAAAATAATTACCACAAAAGTATTGTGGCTAGTTAAATAACATGAATGTGTATGACGTAGATTTGCTTGGTCAATTTATTGCGATTCATCTGAAGTTATGAGTTCCATTAGAGTTGTCTTTATCAAGATGAGAGAAAGTTCTCATCCTCAGTGATTTGGAGTATTAAGACGGTCAGGAACGCGAAATCGTGCAGACCCACCCGTAAGGTATCCAGATGTATTTGTTGATTATTACTCATAATCACATCAGTTGTTTGTGAAGCTTTAAGTTACTTACTGACAATTTTAATCAAATATTAGCTGTTACTACATTACAGTACACTACAGAATGTGATTTCCTGAATCTAAATGCCAATTACATACTGTTGTAGATAGATCTTTCAAATGGTTATAGGCTGTCTTCTGCTCTCATCGATGTTATTTTAGCTTTTTAATTATAGAAAGGAATAATGTAAAGCTACCTTATAACATTTTCTTACTGTGTTTTATCTCTCCTTTGTAATGGTTTACTGGCTTTTTAAGGGCCACAATCTTCTTGGACTTGGATTCCTCATGTTATGGTACCCATGGTATCATCTTCGTTCTTTTTTTTTTTCCGTAAACGCACGCTGTTACTTAAACTTCCCTACCCATAATAATTGCCACAGTTAAACAACATGAAATGTGGATATTATTATACTGAATGCTAATTTGCTGTGTATCAATTGTTTGCGACTTGTATGAAGTGCTGATGATCGTAAGGAATTTGTTGGTGTTGATATGGAAGAAATTATGTCTTTGGTATGTTTCTCATCCTGTGTAGTTCGGACTAATAAGTGGTGACAGTTGGACTCATGAACGCAACGTTGTGGAGACTCATCAGTTGTCCAGATTTATCCAGGAGCAATAACTGTCTCATAGTCACAACAGTTGTTTGTCAAGTATTAATCACATGTGATAACTGTGATCAGATCTTAGCTGTTAATAAATGCGATCAGATCTTAGCTGTTAATAGATCACAGTATATTACAGAATCTGATTACATGATAGAAGAATAGAAAACGGGAATCTGATTAAGTGAATCTTACTCCTCATTAGATACTCTCTTCAGTGATATAGCTTATGATTTATTGAAAGGGAAAAATGTAAAGCTATCTTACAACAGTTTTTCCTGACAGTATCTTGCCTCTCCGTGTGCATTGGTGTTACTGGCGTTCCTTTAGGCCAACGGTCCTCTTGGACTTGGTGCTTCATGTAATGGTGCTCATGGTACCAGCAATTGTTTTTCTGTTTGGTAAGCGGTTTCACTTCTCTTAGAGGTGGGCGTCTTCTGTTCTAATCAGTTTTACTGTTCATTATGTCATTGTTATATCAGAAGTGGAAAAGAGAAGAGCTCACATTCTTCTTTGACTGTTATGTCATCTCTTGTCACTTACATTACTGCTTAAATAAACTTCTTTTCAGGGCTAAGGTTTTTGTGGACCTAAGTTCTTCACGTACTAAGGTACTCCGGTATAAGCACCTGACAGTCGAGTGTATGTATGGGGCGTTCTTTTGCAAACAATATCAGTTACAAAGTTGGCTCTCAGCCTGTGAAGGAGATTTATCCAGATCTATTCAACCTCACAAGCACCTGATGCAACTATTCACGAGACTTGGGGGCAGCAGGGTTGGAATATAAACTTCAGAAGATTACTAAATGACTGGGGAGACTAATAGGATTGCTAAGCTTTTCCAGGTACTAGAACAATTTATTCAAGGAACGACAGCTAATGAAGATAGATTAGATTGGAAGCATAGAAGATGTAAATCATTTACTAGACTTTGTTGGATCCTTGTAAGAATATCAAGCCACTTTTGGGTTTTGCCTTTTTTGAATTTTAAATATGGTTCCCAGCAGTGTCTTTGTGCTGCAGATAGCAATCATAGAACCCTTGCAAATCAAGGTGCTCTTTTTATTATTATCTCGAGTCTGGGCAGTTCATTTTTTTTGAAATTACATTTTGATAGGATGCTGTAAGCTTGGATGCCGTTGTTTAGTCATTATCTACAAGGAATGATATTTTGGATGAATGTGTGCCTGAATGTGGATAGATAGATTTATTGTAGATATCACTGGACAATCACAGTTTACCATTGCAGAGAGTTACCATATAGGAGACATTGTCCGCATTGGAAAATCTTAAAGATATCATCTAAAGGAAAAGGGAGATGCACGTTTGGACTGTTTTTTTTGAAGTTTCATATGTTAATAAAGGTTAACGATCTACTGGAAGTTTATGATAAATGGCTGTTCAGTGGTCGTCCTTTCTCTTTTGTAAGTTCCTTGAACTAGTGGTCTGGTATCTGACACGGCTTTATTTCTGGTTAATCAGTTTAATTTGCCCTAGGCCTTGTCAGTTGTCCCTACATGAATTGCATGCATTTGGTTTGAAGGAATGTAGTCGACGTAAGGCTTGCCATAAACATGTTGGTGCAGCGTGACGATAAAGACACAGTTTACTCTTTGGCGATGGTTCCCGCTCAAGTGTCTCCTAGTGGTTCAACAGAACTATGTGCTGATTTCTCTCGCTTTCCTTTGGAAAGGATGGGACTGCGGTTGCACAACCTTTTTCTCAATGTTAGTGCGCAGCCTTTCTGTTGAGGAAAGCTTGGAACATTGTGACAGATAATAGTGAATGACTTGAAACTAATTAGTAACACAAGAATGATTGTTGGTTCTACTTGAGAAGTCTGAAATGAACGTGTAACTGTTTGTGCATTGAGTGTTCCGCTGTTTGGGAAGTATGTGAGAGGATGGTTCATGTGTGGTTTGTACCCCTCAGATGATTCTGTTTAGGGTTGGAAGTTTAGAAGAACTGAAGAAGAAACTATCATGTTGGTTTCGGAAGTTTCTGCTACGGCAATCAGTAAGCGTGGTTTTGTTTTGTTATTTCTTGTAGTGGCTGGTAGCGATAACCGGATATGCAGCTCTATTCAGGTGTCGGGTGGGCGATTAATGTTTATTCTTGACATTGATAGTGATTGAAGTTTGAGCACGTATATCAGAAATCCGTTGTAGTCTAGGTGGTTAGGATACTCGGCTCTCACCTGAGAGACCCGGGTTTTAAGTCCCGGCAACGGAATTATTTCTAGTTTTTCTTCTTCTTTGTCTATATGAACATGTATATTAAACTTTTATTTTCATTCTTTATATATAAATAATATTATTCTTTGTATATCAATAATATAAAATTATATATATAGTTATTGCTGCATTTATATCAACTAGTTTTAGCGTACGTGCGTTGCACGTGTAAATCGTGCATTTACCATCTTCTTTTCTGTAATTTAAGAATAATTAATTATATTTAACGTAAGGCAACGGAATTATTTCAACTTTTTCTTCTTCTTTGTCTATACGAACATGTATATTATACTTTTATTTTCATTCTTTATATATAAATAATATTATTCTTTGTATATCAATAATATAAAATTATATATATAGTTATTGCTGCATTTATATCAACTAGTTTTAGCGTACGTGCGTTGCACGTGTAAATCGTGCATTTACCGTCTTTTTTTCTGTAATTTAAGAATAATTAATTATATTTAACGTAAAATTTACTTCGAAAAATTAATATATTTCCATGGTGATATATTTCCTCTCTAAGAGTTGATCTGTTGAAGACTTGTTCTAACAAATGATTTGGAAGCTGTTCAAATATGTAGCCGAAACACCAATCTATCTTTTAATTAGTTGTCTGACCGATGTGCAAAAGGATTTTGTTACATTATCCATTTGACTTTTTTCACAATTTCCTTCGATAAATTTTTTATATGAATTTTTATGTAATATATATTGCACAACTCATTGTTTCTACAAAAGTGCATTTCAAAATAACATGCATTATATATATCTAAAAAAATTTGCATCAACTTTAACAAATTGATCGAGCAACAATAGGTAAAGAAACTACTACATAAGTCAATGGCAAAAATGGTTAAAAAAAGTAGCAGTCTAAACCAAACAAGAAAGCATACATGCTACCCAAAATCAATGCTTAGTAGCAGTCTTAGCCTTAATTGTAGGATTCTAATGAATCTTATTAATTACAACAATCTCATTCACAATAAGCATCTAATACTCCCTCCGTTTTTAATTAGATGAGATAGTTTGATGGGACACGAAATTTAAGGGGAAAAAAGACTTTTAAAACATGTGGTCCTAAAAGCTTAAGGGGCAAAAACTTTGTGAGACCATGACATTTTTTTGGCTATAAAGTTTAAACCTAAATTATTTTCAAATATAAAAACGTGTCATCTTTTTGGAGCGGATTAATAAGGAAAGTGTGTTATTCAAATTAAGACAAAGGGAGTAACTTTAAGCTCGCGCAAATATGAATATTAATTGTTCTTGAAGATTAAAAAAGAGTTAACTCCTTGTTTTAAATTGAAAATTGATATATTATCGATTTTTGTCTTAGTTTCATTATCCAAAATGTTGAACATCAAAAACCAGTTTGAAATTGCATGATGAATTCCGATATTCCATTTTGAATCATATATGAATGCAAAATATATATAACCATATTTATTAGAAGAAATTTATTCCATTTTGAATTTCTAAATACAGTATCAGGATTTTCAACATAATTCAAATAACAAAAAATTTACTAACCAAAGTTTTAGTTAGTTTTAAAGTCTTAAATATAAAAAAAAATTAAATTACATTTTGTCCAATGTGATTAGAAACCAAAATTTAGAAAAAGTAATTGTTTAAAATTCGGAAGAACTAAAAGGAGTGTACTTGAGTTTGACTCGAGTAATGATTAAATTGCTTATAACAAAATAAAGAAAAGGAAAAACTTGAAAATAAAAACTTTTCTAAGATTCCTAACGTGTTTAAAACTTCTTTTCGTTTTTGCTTACCAGAATAGCCAATAAGTTTGGTAGCATTAGACTAAAAAAGATGTAAAATTTACGTTTACTTGGATTTGGACAAAGCTAGAGTTTTATTTTATTTTAGTTGAAGTCTAATAATGATTAAATGATTTCTAACAAAATAAAAAAGGCAAAGACTTGAAAATAATTATGACTTCAAATAAGGAAAGAATTTAAGAATCAAAATTTTAGTAGATTTCAAATTCCTAAATATTAGGATAATAATTTAGTTACGATTTTATCCAATATAAAAATTATTTTTGAAGGGTAAAAAAGGCGAACGACATTTCGCAAAGGGGCTTCGTGCTTTTAATATAGTATAGATGATATCACAATAACAATATTGTATTATTTGTATATCACAGTGTATAAACATATGTATAACAAAATAGTTATCTTTAGTTTATTTTTCTTCTCTGTGTACGTGATCAAAAAATAATTTTCTTTGTATACTAAAATATTATTTACTCCCATAATTATATTTATTATTTTATATTTTAGAACTTGCTTAAACATGCTATATAATTTTTTTTTTCGATGATCAATAATTAATAATTATATTATTTGTATATCAGAGTGTATAACATAATAATAATGTGTATATCAAAAAAATTTGTTAAAATTTTATTTTCCTTCTTTGTATAACACATTTAAGATTGAAAACTCAAGTTCAAGACGACTCCACATGTGAATCCCCTATTGTAAATCGTGTATATCTCTATGTACCTGAGTGATATCTCATGTATATTATGTGTACCTGTGTATATCCATGAAAATTTATGTTATATATACGATATACAATGTGATATACACGGGCGTCCATGAAAACATTGTGTTGTATATCGATATACAAAGTGATATACACATACGTCCTTAAAAACTTGTGTGTGATATACACTGATGTACACGATATACAACGTGATATACACATGTCGCAGTTGGATTTTTAGGTCTGATTTTTTGCCTGAAACTAGTCTAAATCACTTATAATCTTGCTCAAATTTTGTATATAGCCTAGTTTAGGTATTTTCAACCAATTCCAATCACACCCACTCATTCAATCCAACCAAAAAAAGGAAGAGAGAAGAAAAACAAAGTTGAAATATATTTTTTCTCTCTTAGTTTTTGCTAATCTTGCTCAAATTTTGTATATAGCCTTGTTTAGGTATTTTCAATCAATTCAATCACACCCACTCATTCAATCCAACAAAAAAATGAGAGAAGAAAAACAAAGTTGAAATATATTTTTTCTCTCTTAGTTTTTGCTTCTGATTTTCTCTGATGTGAGATCAACCTTACCTTTTTATCCCATTGATTTTATTTTTTTTTTTGCATAATTTGCAAGAATTTTTGCTAAACTATGAGAGCAAAAGAGAAGAGGTAGAAGAAGAAATACAAGGAGAGAAAGGGAGAGGGAAGCCAAAATAAGCGTGTAGTTTTTTTTTTGAGAGAGAATATAAAAAAGAGTAGTTTTTTTTTAGGATTTTGGCTATATAATACCAATTGTTTGGGACTATCTTTGCCAAACCTAATATAAGGCTGAAAAATTGTCAATTCCTATTATGGGTTGTTATAGAATGCCAATTTTTCATTTTTTTTCCCATTGATTTCCGGTGTAAGAGTGTTACTTGGGTTTAATATCTTGGGGCTTCTGCTGCCACGGATCTGGGCCAGCTTAGGTGCAAAGTGCAAACTACACAAAAATTTGTTCTTTGCGGTGGGAAAGCAAAGTAAAAAAGAAAAGTTAAAGGCCGTGTTTTGGTTCAAAAATTTTCTTTTTCTGTTCCTGGAAAACCATTTGTTCAACCAAGTGCCCAAGGAGAAACGTGTATTCATAGCATTGTAGAGTTGAAATATTTTTTGAAAGAAGTCTCGTAACGTATTCTTTCGAATTCAGTTTGCAAAAAACACTTTTGACATTCTAAAGTATAGAATACTACTGACTAAATGTGAGCATTCGACAACAAAAACAGTGTCTAGATTATAAGGAGTTTTTTCTCGTTTCCAACCCATTTCATTACCCTCGTCGTGTGTGTTTGGCGTATTATAGTCAGTGTTGTTGCTTCAATATGTAAAAGGAACCTCATATGTAATACGACATATACAACATGTAGGGGCTATTGTTAGTTTGTTACAACATAAACAAA